ATTTGATAAGCAGCAATGTCAGGCTGGCTGAAAATATGTATAAAAATAGAGGAAATTTGCAGTCACCACAATGTTAAAATAAGCATCTGAGATATACTGACATAATACTCAGAGAAAAATTGTAATGATGCTTTCACAAACTTGAAATCATTCCAGATTCCAGCAAAAAGTAGATTATCACAAAAATTGTTACACAGACATATAGACAGACACATTATACTACTTACCATGTTATAATACTAGCATATAAACTCCAGAAAATTCCTTAAGAGTATGTAATATGAAAATCATAATTGCATAAAAGTACCCTCATGCAGGTTGCTAGAGTGTTGAACCATTTGTTCATTTTATTTTATGTACTTTGAATGAGTTTTTACACTAACAAAAAGAAAAATCTGCTTATATAATCATCCTATGACTCCATTTACATCAGCAGAATTTCTTGAGTTATTTACTCAGAATTTTGGATATCTGAGACTTATTTTAAAAGAAGAAAATGAGCTTAGTGCAAAGTTAATAAATAATTATAGCTGTTGTAGTATTTGATATGATGTCTTCCATATTAGGACTTTAGAATATGCTCTTTTTTCTTTTTTAAGATTGACTTTATTTATTTGAAAGGCAGAGTAACAGAAAAAGAGGCAAAAAGAATGACAGAAAGATCTTCAGTCCACAGGTTCACTCTGCAAATGGTGACCATGTCCCAGGTTGGGCCAGATCAAAGCCAGGAGCCAGGAACTCCATCTTGGTCTTCATTATGGGTGGCCCAAGCCCAAGCATTTGGGCCATTGGACATGCATTTTTCAAAATGGCCATGTATATTATCAGTGTACTCAAGCTTATCAATTTTTTACTTTTTAGGAGTCCAAAAATAGCATAATTCCATGATGATTTCAAAGGTAACAGGGAAAGAGGAGTAAAGACAAACACTCCTTGTTTTGATGAGAGGAATACTAGTGTGATAATTAGCCCCCCCATATATAAATCTTTTTTAAAAAAAAAACTTATTTTTAGTTTTGAAATGCAGAGTTAGAGACAGAGAGAGAGAGAGAGAGACAGAGAGACAGAGAGAGAGAGATTGATCTTCCATCTGCTGGTTTACTGCCAAATGGCTGCAATGGCCAGGGCTAGGCCAGACTGAAAGCAAGAGTCAGGAGCTTCTCTCGGGTCTCCCATGTGGGTGCAGGGGCCCAAGGACTTGGGCCATTTTCCACTGCTTTCCCAGGCCATAGCAGAGAGCTGCATGAGAAGAAGAGTCAGGACTCAAACCAACACCCATAAGGAATGCCAGTGTCACAGGCAGTGGCTTTACCTGCTACACTACAACTCCAGCCCCAACTCCCTTTCTTTTCTCTCTTTCTATATCTCAATCTGGTGTCTGTTTCTCTCTGTTGTATAACTATCTGTTTTTAATTATTGATTAAAATAACAGATTCCTGTGTAGTCTTTAAAAAAATTCTCTTAAGAAACAAGAATGACAAAGAGGGAGAGATATATATTCCATCCACTAACTTACTCTCAAAATGGCTGCAACTGCCAGGGCTGGTCCAGATCAAAGCCGGAAGCTATAAACTCTATTCTGGTCTCCCACATAGGTAATTGGGTTCCATGTACTCAGGCCATCTTCCTCTGCCTTCCCCAGAACATTAGCAGGAAGCTGGATCCAAAGCAGAGCAGCTGGAACTCAAATAAGCACTCCAATATGAGATGGCTAGTTTCATAAGCGGCAGCTTAACCTGCAATACCACATCATCAGCTCTTACTGTACAGTTTATTAACATTATGACTCTAAGTTGTATACTAAACAGTACTATTTGTGTGTTGAACTTAAAACATATTTTTTTCTGCAAGTTACTGAGGAATCATCCTCTTCCATTTTTAGTGAATATAGCAAATTATACTTCTAGGAACACACTGAGAATTCTGGATTCAATTTTTTTACATGTTAGAGCTTAGAAGCTGTCACTTTCATCCTTATGATAAGAAAAAATTGGATACAATGAAGAACAATGACTTTTCTCACATCCATTAGAAAACCAATATTGTAAGGCAAGCTATCATCCTGAAAGCTAGGGGAACAGATGCACAAAGAGAGATGCACCAACCAAGATCAGCTTACTTGCAGCAGAAGCTGCTGGAGTGTTACGCTAAGAACAACACTTAAATGGTAATTTTGATGCGTTGCTTGAGCAAGGATTACCATAAAAGAACAGTCTTAGGAGTAGTTCATACTCTTCTGTGCTTTGCCTACAGAAATCACAACAGTCTGTCATGGTGAAGATCTGAAGATCATTATAGGATTTTGTCAAGGGGAGAGGAGTGCTGAGCACTGTGAAGCACACCCAGCGCATTCTCCAAGGCAAAGGCCAAGTCTCCAGGAGAAAAGAACATGCCAGACCCTCTCCCAGCTGAGAGGAAGAAATCTCTGCCACGCTAGCATTCTCTAGCCTTCCCCTGTCATGGAAAGGAGAAAATGCAAAGTTATTAGGGGTCAGGACTTCAAGGAAATAGTTTGGAAGCACTGTAGTTAGGGAAGGCATTGGTGGTCTAGGGAAAAATAGTCTATACACTAAAACAATACCTGTGAAGGATCCAGCCTGGGGATATACATTCACTAAAAGAGAGTCCACTGGAATATCAGTGTGTTCCTACATTTTCATATCTTAACATCACACAAATATAACTCTCATATTTTAACATGAATTACATTTAAAAGAGCTACAACACCCATAGTCTCACTGAGAAGTATTTGGGGAAACCCAAAGTAAGAGGAAGCAAAAACAAGGTCACTAAATGGATGTGACATGTAGAACCTATGGTTACAGCAACCATCAAACACAGTTCACTTACTAACTGCATTACCACAAGTCCTTCCACGAAGGGCCTGTGTAACTTAACTCTTATTACCTGCTACTAAATATCTGGCTTTCAACAGCAACAATAGAAAAGTGAAGAATGTCAAAGGTGAGAAAAATCACCATCAGGTGAAGAAATGATAATAGTCAGACTCGGGCATGACACAGATGTTGGAAATACACTTGAGTATTTAAAATAATTGGCGTTAATATGTCAAGGGCTGTAATCACAATAGTAGATATGATATAAGAACAGATGAATACTGAAATTAGAGAACGGGAAATGCTAAGAAAGAATCAAAAGGAAATTCTGGAAGTAAAAAATATGGTAAAGGAAGTAAAGAATGCCTTTGGTGGGTCCATCTGTATACTTAGTACAGCCAAGAAAGAGTAATCTTGAGGTTAACAGAAACTTCCAAAACTGAAATTCATCAGAAAAAAATAATTTGAAATAAAATAGAATATCAAAATAACTTGTGAGGTGTCAGTGTTGTGGCATAGCAGGTAAAGCTGCCACCTGCAGTGCCAGCATCCCATATGGGCATCAGTTCAAGTCCCAGCTGCTTCATTTCCAATCCAGCTCTCTGCTATGGCTTGGGAAAGCAGTGGAAGATGGCCCAAGTCCTTGGGCCCCCTGTACCCACATGGGAGACCCAGAAGAAGCTCCTGGTTCCTGGCTTCAGATCGGTGCAGCTCCAGCCATTGTGGCCAACTGGGGAGTGAACCAGTGGATGGAAGACTCTCACTCTCTGCCTCTGCCTCTCTGTAAGTCTGCTTTTCAAATAAATAAATCAATCTTAAAAAATAATAACTGTGAGATGATAATACAAAAAGTTGTGATATATGTTTTGAATGAGTTAAAAATATATCACCTTCTCATTTAAACTATGTCTTAATGACACTTGAAAAACACCAGATGCAAAACGTTCAGGTTCATTTTTGTGTTGCCTTTTAAAAGTAGAAGATGACATTCCTATGTGCTCAATCACCTTCCTATGTAGAATGATGCAGGGCCCTTATCCTCAAGGACAAACAAAGCTGAAAGAATTCTACACAAATCTTGCTAAGATGATTCTTATCTCCCTTTTTAAAGATTTTATTTATTTATTTTAGAGATATATTTACAGACAGACAGACGGAGAGACAGAGAGTAGTCTTCCATCCACTAGTTCACTCCCCAGTTGGGCGCAACGGCCGGAGCTGCCAATCCAAAACCAGGAGCCAGGAGCTTCTTTTAGGTCTCCCACGCTGGTGCCGGGGCCCAAGCACGTGAGCCATCTTCCACTGTTTCTCCAGGCCATGGCAGGGAGCTGGATTGGAAAAGGAGCAGCAGGGACATGAACTGGCACCCATATGGCATGGCAGCACCTAAAGGCGGAGGCTAAGCCAACTAAGCTACAGTGCCAGCCCCAATACTTCTTATCTTTTAAGCCTCCCCACATCATTTAATTGCTTTGCCCAGCTAACAATTTTTGTCCTATTCACTATGTAAGTAATTCACTCTGACTGCTTCTATCAGTGTTCATTTTTTTTTAATGAGGACTCCTCTACCAAATAAAATCTACATTATAATCTTCTCCTATTAGTCTGTTACTTTTTTTTTTTTTTTTTTGGACAGGCAGAGTGGACAGTGAGAGAGAGAGACAGAGAGAAAGGTCTTCCTTTGCCATTGGTTCACCCTCCAATGGCAGCCGCGGCCAGCGCACTGAGGCCGGCGCACCGCGCTGATCCGAAAGCAGGAGCCAGGTGCTTCTCCTGGGACTCTCCATGGGGGGGAGGGCCCAAGCACTTGGGCCATCCTCCACTGCACTCCCTGGGCACAGCAGAGAGCTGGCCTGGAAGAGGGGCAACCGGGACAGAATCCGGCGCCCCAACCAGGACTAGAACCTGGTGTGCCGGCACCGCAAGGCAGAGGATTAGCCTAGTGAGCCGCAGCGCCGGCTAGCCTGTTACTTTAATTTAGTTCTAAGGCTGCAGTTGCGACCTAAAAGAATAGAGGTGATGTTTCTATGTCTCTATAATGTAGTTGGAATATCAGAAGGAGAAAAAAATGAGACTGAAGAAATATTTGAAGTAATAATGATTGAGAAACTTCCAATATTAAAGACTGATACCAAGTTACAGATCTAGGAAGTCAGAGAACAAGTTCTCACTTTGCAGCAAAAATACTAATATTGAAACCATGCAAAGGATATCAGCATGGTCTCTGCAAAAGAATGACATGCAAATTCCTGAAGCTTTCCATAAAAAAATTATAAATTCAAAACTAATACAATAACAAAAACAGACATACACATAGGTATGTCATATTCCAGCACTAGAAAACCAAACACAAATAAGAGAAACATTTTATTTCTAGAGAAACAGAAATAAGAAAACCAGCAGGCATTTCACCAGATACTATTGTGGGCTAGGTTGGCCAAAATTAATATCCCAGGTTCTTGTCTGTTGCTTAGAAAAGAATTCTAAGCACAGGCACCAACACAGGATGCAGCATGGTGAGGTTTATTTAGAATGTGAGGAGAATCCACAGGCACGTGGAGGTTCCATTTAGGGAGAATGGGCCAGGAAAGGTAAAAAGAGGAACTTCATACCCTGCTCTGCTTGTCCTGGGTCCACAAGTGAGGAGAGAGAAAAGAGAGAACACCCTCTCATTCCCCAGGCTTCTTCTTAGCTTGCAAAAGGGGAGTGGTTACATAGTACTGCCTGCAGGTCCCAGGTAAGGAGGGGTGCATTGGGGGAGGCGCCATCTGATTGATAATAAGATTATATGGGGTGGGGTAGGTGTGGCCTCCAGCTCATGAACTTGATCTATCTCCCTGATTTTTCCCACATTAATACTAGGCCAAAAATAGGAGGGAGTGGTCAAAAATTTAGTGTTGGGAGATAAAGCATACCAACCTATAAATCTGTATCCAGTGAAATTATCCTTCAGTAATGAAGGAGAAATAAATCAATGAAGGAGTTCCTGAGGGAATTTTTGTCTATAAGAAGTGTTAAAAGTTATCAAAACTTATGGTTCTGGCCCATCATGAAACGAGATTCCAACAGGTAAACACCTGGACCGGCTGAAAAATCAATAGCTTACAGATGTTTCAGAGAAGTCGGGTTGTAGTGCAAACAACTGTCCTCAAAATCGGAGAGACAGAGATCAAAATGGAGAATCACGGCTTGCCTGAGCAGAGTCCTCAGGGTAAGAAAACCTGAAGTGTGATTGGCAAATTGCTGGAGATTCAGCGTAGACAAATCTGAGTTAAGGACTAGCAGTACTCTGGTGTTCTGAAAGCTCAGTCTGGTTCTCACAGTTCATGCTGAGAAAAATTCCGTGCATTCAGTTCAGGGAGGGCTAAGAAAACATTTTGGAATATCCCAGAACATTCTGTTCTTAACTAGGCTGAACCTCAGAAGAAATGACCAGGGATATTCAAAGATCCATGGGAAAAACATTACCTTTTAATTCCATTGCTCCACTAACATTTTGAAATACCATTATATTTTACAAGAGCCTAAATATTGGAGTCCTTCAGAACCAACCAAGTTGTTGGGGGAGGAGGGAGGAGAAACACCCAGTATCAGCCCACCCTAGTCTTTCTTTCCCACCTTTGGGGGAGGTGAAGCCTGAGAAGCAGTTAGGAAGGTTTCATTTCAAAGACACAGGCTGAGGCAAAGTCCTACTCCTAATGATTGATTATAATTGCAAATAGCTTAGGTTCAAACTCCACCCTCTAGAGGACGGAGAATAAAGCCCACTTTTTTTTCCCCCCAAGTAGTTAGCATGCTAGCCACATTCAGTGAAGAGAGTATACCTGACAGACCAGGAGGGCAGCTCAGGAAAGAACTGAGGGCCCACTCTGCGTTCAGACTGGAGTTTTCCCGGAAATGAGTATGGGTTCTCCTTTCCTCCTCCACTCTCCCTCTTCTGGGATATTCTTGGGTGGAATAGTTTCTGGAAGTTGAGTTCCTGAAATTCCCCCCAGGACTTACTTCGTAATCCACCCAATAGCCTCCTTGGTGTAGGGTGGGATGATTCCCTGTGCTGCCCTGGGAGAGGCTGGAATCCACCTAATAAGGTTATGCAGTAAGAGCAAGACTTCTGATGTGCAAATGCTGATCTGCTTCCACGACATGCTTCTACGTTCTTCCCTCATTCTGCCACACAAAAATTCCCATTTCCTTTGGTCTCTCTCACACACATGAGCTAATGACTACCTAGCTACCTTAACAAAACCCAAATCTTAAGTACACTCTGTACTTAATAACTTTCTTCCAAAAATTAGAATATAGGAAGAGAGACAGAAAGAAAGGGAAAGAAAAGTAATTTCTAGGTCACCAGAGTCAGTCAACAGTAATTAAGCAAGCATGTTGATGATATGCACGCTTCATGTGATGTGATAAAATTTTATGTTTGTGGTCTTTCTCTCCAAATCCTACAATCCAAATCCAATCAAAAGAAAAATATCATAAGTTCCAGTAGAGAAAAATTCTACAACAATCCCTCAAAACTCCAATTATCATCAAAAGCAAGGGAAGTATAAACAATTATCGTAGCCAAGAGGAGCCTAAGGAAATGCGACAAATATAACCTGGTAGATTGGATGGGACTCTGGAATATAGAAAGATAATTTGGAGGCCTGTGTTGTGGCATAGCAAGTTAAGCCATGGCCTGCAACACTGACATCCTATGGGGCAAAGGTTCGACCCCCTCTCCCCCTGACTCCCCTGCTCCACTTCTAATCCAGTTCTGGGATAATATGCTTGGGAAAGCAGCAGAGGATGGCTCAAGTGCTTGGGCCCCATGTGGGTGACCTGGATGAAGCTCCTGGCTCTTGGGGGCAGCCATGCCCAGCCCTGGTTATTGCAGACATTTAGAGATTGAACCAGTGGATGGAAAATCTTTCTCTCCCTGTCTTTTATTTTCCCTCTGTAACTCTGCCTTTCAAATAAATAATCAAATAAATAAATAAATAATTCTTTTTTAAAAACATTCATCAGATAATAATTAAGGAAACTTAATTAAAGAATAAACTTGGGAAATAATATATCCATTGTTTTATTAATTATGACAAATGTATCATGCTAATGTTAAAATGTTAATAGCAGGATAGTTATGATATACACTATCTTCACAATTTTTCTCTATATCTAAATCTACCCTAATCTTAAAAACTGGCTAAAATGTTTCTAAAACTTGTATTTATAAATAAAACCACTTGATTTTGCTATGTATAGGTCTGTAATATAACTTATATATTCCACCATTGAACTTCTTCATTTTATAATACAGGAAACTGGACTCCAGGTCAAGTAACCAAACCAAGATCATATAAAATTAGAATACTTACTCTTGTAACTGATCCTTGCTACTATGTCTATTACCTCAGATAAATTTCTTGTTTCTTCTGCAAAACTCAACATGTGAAATCCATTAATATAAATAAATATGTAAGAAGTTTCAAGCCTGTTTAGTACAGCATGATAGTTTGAATTTTTCCTAAAGTGTGTTTTGTCAAACTCATTGGGTTCAGGGAAATCCCTAAGTGCTTAAGAACTGTGATCTCAGCATTACTCATGAGACAGGGCTGTTTATAGAAACTAATAGAACCCTAAGTCATCTGCCCTCTGAGTCAATCCGTTTCAGGAATAACTTTGCGAGAGAAGTCTAACTTTCACAGGAGACTTCTGTCTGAAGAAAAGACACGAGTTCTCAAGAAATAGCCTGTGTTTTTTCCTTTTATTTTCCTGCCAAAAAAGAGAAACAATTATCCTAGGAAATTGTGACCCAGAGCAGTTACATTAATTCCTTGTAATAATTTATTAAGTCAGTGGTATAATTCCTTGCCAGGTAATCTGGTTTACAATTCTAAATCCTGTGTGCCAAACCATACTAAAATCACCGAAAAATGATTTGATGGCATAAAATAAAATCGGATATGTTAGAACCCAGGAACACAAAGAAATTTTTATTGAATGACCTCACAGAAGAACAGGGGCTATGCATTTCAATATGTTTTATCAGTACCTACTTTGACTTCTTTAAATAGTTGCCATTAACAAAAGCTATTAAATAACATGAACTCCTTTAGCCCTGTATTAAATCCATTTATGCTAGATTAGCTAGTAGATAAAGCATTTAATATTACTCAATTATTTTTATCCATCTGTTCAATATGGTAAAACGATCTTTCTCATCATCCTTCTCTCCAAGAAAAGAACGATAGAAAAAATTCGGTAGGTTCCATGAGGTAAATGGCAAAGGACATCTACAGTCATTAGGCCTCATGAACGTTCTTAACACATTGGATGTTTCTGTATTTTGAACAAGTATGATAGAGTACTGTGGGGCAAACAACAATTATAAAGTAACAACAATTTTTTTTACTTGTAAAACTCCTAAACAGAAATTTAATTTGTAGATCGTTTCAGCTTTTAATTTTCTTATTCTTACTGTCTAATAGAGATTCTATAAACGTATATCATGGGGAGGGAAGCCTTTTAAAAATTCTTCCATCCACGGCTGCGCTTAGGAGGCTGTGGTATGCTGTTCAGTTTTTTGGTGACATAATTCTAGGTGACCTAGGTAAACAATGATCTAGTACTTCTTTTTAAAAAACACTAAAATTGGAAAAAAAAAAAAAAAAGCCAACCTAATCCCATGAGTTCTAAAGCTTTCGTATTTTTCTAGTTCTTTTGGAAAATCCATAAAATATTGCCTTTTGCTTTTTTCTTCATTAGTGCTTTTTCTATTCACAGTATTCACTTGTTTGCTTTCTCACTTTTACCGTCCTCTGGAAGTTTTGAGTATGTCACATCTTTAGTTATTTTATTGACTAATCCTAAACCAACTCTGTCATTTTTCCCTTCTTGAATTTCCTCCGTGGACTTCATTTTGTTCTTGTACAAAAACATTCTTTCTCTCAACTCTGAAAATCATCCTTCAATTTCATAGTACATATCTAATTTAAGGGATTAAAATAGCATACATATTAGTGGCTTTCTCTTCGACCTTGCTCAACTCAATTCTTTTAAGCTCTAGGGGCCAATTCCAAGAGTGTGAAAATATGGTTCATTACCATTTCATGAGTGAACAAATGACTTTAATCAACTGAAACCATATTGAAAAGAGATGCCCTAAAAATGACATTTATTACTTCTCCCAGATCACATGGTGAACTGACTGACAATGCAGAACCCTTGAAATTGCCAGCTAGCTAGGCAGTAAAGTTAATGAATGTAGCACAAGCTGAGGTTGGC